CCTCTTCCCAATATGCGTTTTTGCAATTTACATATATGCAAAAACGCATAAAAAATGCAAATTTCCGGTTCACTAAAAAGTGAAAGTATTGCTTGCTCGAGCGATCGTTCGTGAAAAAATCCAAGTATACAAATGAACTAATGTTGATTTACGTATTTGGATGAGGGCGGTCGTTCGCTGCAAAACGCACTCGTTTCTGATTTTTCGGTAAAGTTGAGTATTTCTCATGCTACCTGAAGGGAATTCCACCCTCAAGCAGAGTTATGGCCACACTTGAAAATAGAATACTCCAGCGAATTTTCAGCCTCACAAATTACCCGGTAAGCGGAATATCCACTTCGCTGCAAATGTCTTTGAAGTGCCCTAAGTTGTGGCGCAAAACTTGCAAGAAAACAGTGGCTGAAATTTTGTCAGCATATTTGTCGCCTGCATAGGAAATAGTGTACTTAAAATGAGCACCCGATTTGCGGCACTCATTTTAGTATACTATTTCCTATGTAGGCGACAAATATGCTGACAAAATTCCAGCCACTGTTTTCTTTCAATTTTTTGAGTTAGCGCTGTACCATATTCGCAAACTTTGATATGGTCGTACGCGCTGCACAAGCGTGCATGGGAGCTGAATTTGAAATCTTTAGCTCGCGCGTAAGCAGAGAATATTACTGCGAAGTTTCAGCTTTGTACCTTGCCTGTTTCGCAAAACCGTTTCCAGCTAAAGAAATTTGCATATTTTTTCCGGAGGCCCGTACGCCGGGTCTAGGCGCGTATGGGGAAAGATTTTGAAACGGGAGGGTGGTACACAGGGACATATATCCAAAGTTTCAGGCTCCTGGCTTTGCTGGTTGCTGAGATGAAAGTGGGTGACAAAATGCAGTCACTTCCGAACACACACGCAGTCTCTCGACAAGAAGCGTTTTTGTTGGCTGTAGCGCTGGTATTGCGCTACACAGCAAAAGCGCGTGAAAAACTGGCGAAGTAAAAGGTGCTCGCAGTGTTTCTTTGTGACTATGTAAACATTCCGGCTCTTCGTCAGACAGACACTGCGCAGGACAGCACGCGACCACACGAAAAAGCAAACTCCGACGGGCAGACATATGCTCAACTTACCTACAGGCCAGTAGATGTCGCGTACCAGTGCGTGGTGCTCGATAGAAAGTAAACGACTACTCGATGAATTTCTGAAAAGGTAGCGCACTTACATCGAACAGGTGGTGGATACTAAATCGTGCCACACAGCTCAACGTCACAGGAACTAGTACAACTGTACCCTGCGTCTGGGGAAATTTCGGCTGCATGCGTGGTATTTTCACTCTAGGCATCTCAGGTGTAATCACATGCTTTAAAAAAAGCAACCTTTTGTTTCCTTTCTCTTCCACTCTTCGCATGCTAAGCTCACAACCCTACCTATCAAACACTTCTTTCTTCATCAACTTCCATTCAAGAAGGTGCGCTATTGAAAAATTTTCTCAAAAACGATGCTGCTGCTTCACTCACTTTTTTATTTGCAGTTTATATCGTCATTGCACCTGAACTGCTCGCAGGTGTACAAATCGGACGTAATTATCCAAAGGGCACTGTAGCAGGGGACGTCTACAGTTTTGGAATGATGCTCTATTCGATTATTTACCGCACTGGGCCTTTCGATCGAATTGAACTTTCCTTGAAAGGTTCTGTCATGTTTAAAACAAAGCGGTGTTGGAGGATCGGGAGAAAATCATTAGCGACGCCACCGAGCAGCCTGTGTGATCATTCGTTTTTGCAGTACTTCGTGCTCTTTTAAGGTCGCTTGGAGTCCCATTGGCTACAGTTTATGGTATACTGATCCTCGAAATTCAGGAAATTAATTGTGCAACTACATGGTACTCAGGGAACATCCCCTTAAAATTTCAGCCTCCCAGCTTTTCTTGTTCCCAAGTCAGCGACTTTCCCACCAAAAACTTTGAAGGGGCCGTTCTATGAACCACACAGGAGAAGGGGCTGAATTTGATAAATTTAAGTTGTACATGGACTTTAAACATCGCCTTAAAATTTCAGTCTCCCAGTTTTTCTGGTTCCCGAGTTAACGATTTTTCCGTCAAAAATTTTCACGGGTCGTGTGTGGGAACTACGCATATCCAGGGGGCTAAATTTGACAGTTTTAATTTATACGTGGCCTGAAAACATCTCTTTAAAAATTCAATCTCCAGCTTTCCTGGTTCCCAAGTCAGCGATTTTCCCGCTAGGAACCCTTACAGGTCCGCACGTGGGAACCACGCTCATTTGGGGACTGAATTTGAAATTTTTGAGTTCTATGTGGACGGGAACATAATATCAGAATTTTGGTTCCCGACTTAGCGGTTTTCCCGCTAAAACTTTCACCCTCTCGTATGCGGCGTTCATACTCGCGTGACGGTTGGTACCGTGGTCCTGGGACTGCACTTGGCCGGGAAACTCATTGGCAAAATTTTGAGGCCCGAGCTTGCTTGGTTCTCGAG